CGGCCGAACTGCGAGTTATTCGAGAACGCGGACAAATGGATTTTAAGGCTGCTATATTAAGATCTCAAGAAAAAGGTAAGGCCCGCGAGGTCATTAATATACCAGAAGAAACGATGGTTGATAATGAGTAATACACCAAATTCTCATAAGCACAACCAAAAATATAGCACCCTTCTATTTCACCATGTGAACGTGGGAAAGGGTGGACCAAACATGGACATAGCGCTGCAACAAGCTTGGGATGCAGAAGTGCACATAGTCATGGTTCAAGAACCATGGACCTTGCAAGAAGATGGAGAGTTTAGAACGAAAAGCCATCCTGGTTTCGATAGTTTTATACCCTTTGGAAACATGACACCGAGACCACGACCACGCACTGTCACTTTTGTGAGAAAAGGACTCCAAGCGGCTCAGATCTCACCCTCGTCATCAAGCCAGTCATCAGACTACTGTTTTGTGCAGGTGTGTGGACTGACATTTGTAAATGTCTACCGTGCTCCAGGCCATAGTGAGACTTTGGAACCATTACTAAGCTGGCAGCCAAGTGGACCCTCAGTGGTAGGGGTGACTTCAACTCAGTCTCACAGTATTGGCAGCCATTAACAGAACGCCAATACGGAAATGGTGATCTCATCATGGGGTGGGCCCGCAGAAACAACATGCAGCTACTAAACACCTTAGGAAAAAGTACTAATCGCGATGGAAACGTGCTGGATCTAACCTGGAGTAATACGACGGCAGTTGCATCGGTATCAGCACGGTTCGACTGTACATCAGACCACTCCACTATTGAAGGCTCGGTTGACACACCTGGATGCTCGCAGCTATCCGGGATCCCGAGGCTAATCCGCGTAAGAGACGGTGACCTAGACGAGTTTGCTCGATGCGTAAGGCAATGGGTAAGGCACGGCCCCCTCAGCAGTCAAACCGAGATTGAAGACTTCACAAAGAGCTTAATCAAAGTACTTCAAGACGCGATCAAAGTTGTCGGTCGAACACCCGCGGTGGGAAGGGGAAAAACAGCGCCTTGGTGGACTGATGAATGTAAAAGACGTCAGTTTGACTACAGGACAGCCAAAAGGATATCTGGAGATATATTAGTGACACGTAGGGCTTTTCGAGCCGCAGTGAAGAGAGCCAAACGTCAATACTGGACAAAGCAAGTCGAGGCAGCAGAGACAGAAGCAAAAGTGTTCAAACTTATGCGATGGGCCAAACCGAAGCCGACGAAACAGCCTCCTCCTCTCCGGGTATCACCAAACGAGTGGCTTTCAGATCCACTAGAGCGGACAGTTGCGTTGCGAGATTCTCTTCTTGCAAGGTATAACGCGAGAAACGACATCGATACGTGGGAGAACAGTCAACCAGAGTTGATTCCATGGGATGGAGAGGTGTCACTGGAGGATATAACAGCATCAACCATTGGCAGCAAAGAAACAGCTCCGGGGTTCGACAAGATTACCGTACGACTTCTCAAAGCCTGCTGGAGCACGATTGGAACATACGTCAGGGACCTCTTCCAGGCTTGTCTCAACTTGCAATATTTCCCTACGCCTTTCAAGGTGGCGGAAGTTGTGCTACTTCCAAAAATTGGACGCGACCTCTCCAGCTCAAAAGGATGGCGCCCCATATCGCTACTCTCCAGCTTAGGCAAATGATTGGAAAGGCTCATAGCTAAAAGGATGTCCTGGCTTGCATTAAAACACAAGGCAGTACCTCCACAACTATTCGGCGCGCTACCAGGACGCTCAGCAGTCGACTTGGCATCATGTGTTATACACGATGCAGAAGCTGCAATGAGATCCAACAAAGTCACAGCTATGGTCACGCTGGACATACAAGGTGCCTTCGATGCAGTGCTACACAATCGGCTACTCGCACGAATTCGAAGTCAGGGCTGGCCAGTACTACTCTGTCGCCTGGTAGAATCATTTCTGAAACAACGAAAAGTTTTGGTGAGACACGAAAAAGGTGTAACTGATGAGAAGCTTGTTGAGTGCGGAGTTCCCCAAGGATCACCACTATCGCCACTTTTATTTATGTTATACATCTCAATCCTACTTGAAGATGGAACCCCAAACTGTATATTCGGATATGCAGATGACATTGCCATTGTTCGCGTCGGTAAAAATCCTAGTGAGGCTGTTGAGGCTGCCCAGGTAGAACTAGACAGGATAATCCAACGCGCTTCAACGCACATGATAAGGTTCGACCCTTCTAAGTCCGAGCTCCTGGTTATAGGAGGAGGACCGAAGAAGAAACTAGACTCATCCAACCTCGCGGTCAGGGTTGAGGGACAGCTTATTACGCCTTCCGCGTACATTCGATGGCTCGGGGTCTGGCTCGATTCCCAACTGAAGTTTAGACAACATGTTCAAGAATGGTGTAATAAGGCACAACGACTATCTCACTTTATACGAAGTATTAATAGGGTCCAACGAGGTGCGGCTCCGGGACCATTAATCCGTGCAGTGAACGCATGTGTAGTCAGTACGGCAATTTATGGCGCTGAAGCTTGGTGGCCTGGACTCACCCGTATCACGAAGGTACGAGATAAAAGAGTAAGTACGGGTGTCGGATGGCACCTCAAGTTACTAGATAGAACTATTTTGACTGCTGTTCGAGCCGCACTGCCAGTGTGGCGAACTACACCAAATATAGTTCTGCACCGTGAGTCAGGGATACTACCGGCAGAAATTATGCTACAGCAGCGACAGCTCCGAAATGCAGCCAGAATCCGCAGACTCGACAGCTATCACCCTTTGTCGTCAAGGGCAGCTGAGACACCAAAGGAAGCAATTAAGCGACTCAAACTGAGAGAGCGGCAAAAAGATCGTGTCTTCAAGTTTCCAGAGCGATATCTGACACGCCTTCAGAATGGTAACCTCAACCTACCGGCATCAGAAGGGCCTTGACAGCTTTACCAACCGATGATCGCGAGGGCTATGGCTAGAGCCAAATGCGACAAGGAGGAAAAGTCGAAGCGGACTAATCATTGGCTTAGAAATCTCCCTGTAGGGACGCTGTGTGTATATTCTGATGGGTCATCGACTGGTCCAGCATACTCAGCCTATGGCTATGCTATATACAGGGACAGAGAACTCATAGCGAGTGGTGGAAATTTTCTCCCAGGAGCAGAGGTCTTTGATGCAGAAATCGTCGGGGCAGTTCGAGGCCTAGAAGCGGCGTCGGAAATTGGAGGTAGTATAGGTATCAAGGTGCTCCTCGACAATCAAGAGGCGGTAAGAGCCCTTGTGAGTGGTAGAACGAGCTCTTCACAGTCTGAGGTCCGGAATTTTATTGAACTATCCAAGGCTCAGCCTGCCGTAGAAGTCCACTGGGTTCCGGGATACAGTGGTGTTGAAGGGAACGATAAAGCCGACGCAATTGCAAAGACAGCCCTTGCATCAAAAACCAGGGAAGGAAATATCCCGAGACCAGAGTGCACTCAGGAGGAATCTGACAAAGTCCTGACATTCGCAGCACTTAAACGCCAAGTCACAATACGAGTACAAAAACTCGCGGAAGATTGGTGGCATAAAAATAGATCGGACAGGTATGAAGATCTGGACTTACTGATGCGAAGAAAACGCCCTCCGGAGCTAGCTTTACCTCGATGGGCATATCACCGCCTCATTGCGGCAAGGACTGGGCATGGTGATTTCGCTAGCTATCACAGACGATTTCAACATCCGAATGAAGAAATGCGATGCAAATGCGGACGAGAGAAACGGCCATGGCATTTTGCAGAGTGTCGCCCGACCATCCAGAAATGGAGGACGGAAACGAAGGAACCACGACCTACGACAAGGGATATGATAGGGCAAGAAGGATGGCAGATATTCTGGCGCTTTCTAACTGTAACAAAATGTTACAGCAAAATTGAATCATAAACAGGGAACTTGAATGTCAGCTGTATTGCTTCTTAGGGCCGCTCAGTGTGGCACGAGGATGGAGGTGTAGTGCAGGGCGCTAGCACCTCAGAAATGGTGTTTTTTCTTTTTATTTGTTTTGTTTCTGTATTTCTGGCTCCTATGAACCAATCATGTAGGTAGCGAAGAGTCTTATATAGATCTGGACTACCCGTGCCATGCCCCCTGGGTGCTGGGTCAGTACCCGGTCACGATAAAAATATCATTATCATTATCATCAATCACCGGGAGAGAGGTGACCGCGATATTACTGGATCCCGCCTCTCGCAAAACTTCTTACACTTTCATGCGCTTGGAAAAGTAGGAAAAAACAAAATCATGAAAGTCTGAAGATGACGAAGATGATGAAAGTAAACAAACAGCACTGAACAAGCTTGGGAGAATGAGAAATTTCAGAACAGATGAGGCTGCATAGTTCTAAAGTGATAGTATCAAAGAGATACCAAGCTCTTCTGTAAATTGAAGACTTTTATACGGCCATAGAAATTCAAACTTCCACATGGATTCACTTCCTGTATCGGAGAAGTTTCTTGGACGTAACAGATTGGTAAATTTAACATCAAGCTGAACTGTTTAAGCAGATAGAGTTCGCAAGCCGACCATGGAATTTGATTATTTTGTAGCGTTATGATTTGAAGGCATGTGAATAGTCCTTCAAAGAGCTGAGATACTAGACATTCAGGAAACTGTACAATCAGGTCGATAATATTTAATGTGTGCTTTGGCTGAATTGCCTTACGATGGCTCATGACTCATGGTTACTTGTATTTCTTACAGGAGTAAAAGGCTATCCGTTATATTCATTTCATCAAACAGCTTTTTTTGTAACAAAAGAGCATCTAAGAATTGTACCAGATAAGACCCGGGTCAGAGAGGAGCCGAAAGTGTTCGATAGTCATTGACTCAATTAGCACAATATAAACCAAAACAAACATTACAGGAATGATTATTTTCATCGTGACGCGCCACCCGAGTAAAAGTAAACTGACGCCATCAATTAAAAATAATTACCCCTAGGTTTTTCTTATTTTGAACAAGCCTCAGAATATCCTAGAATCAGTAGATCAGTCACAATGGAAGCATGGAGGGAATCCGTATGATCTCCATCCCATTTCCAACAATCAAAGCCTCCATTAGACAGCTTTCCCCAAAAACGGCCAAGCCACCTGCATCTGCCACCGTAGTGAATTGTTCTTGCTCAAGTTGAATGGCGAGAGATATATTATGGTTTTCTTTCTCTTCAACCTGATCAAGAACATTGACATACCAAGTTTTGACGCGCTGGTCATTGCTAGTTGTCATAAGGTTCAATCTTTCATCTGTCGAATTGTGAAGAACTGATAGGCATGTTATAGCTGCTGCATGTGCCCCATCTAATCGAAAGGAGCTGGGGTTTTCATGAAGAGCTAGATAATTGAAGATAGAAATCACCAGAGCACCATCATCTCCTCCTGTTAATACTGCCATGGATTGTTCGTTAAGCCGAACGTCAAGAGATTTGATAGTGCCCTGATGCAGTTTCTGGAAATTATATGGCACTAGGTTGACTGGATCAAGTTGCGCCAGATTTGTTTTAATTATGTCAGCGTTCCAAAGAGTCAGAATTCCATCAGTTGCGGCTGTTATAAGACATAACTTTGTGGCGGAGACATTAATCTGCCGGATCTGAGTTATACACGAAGATGTATATTGCCCCGTCGCTAATACGGAGAATCCATGGTTTTTGGAGTATTGGTAACTGCAAATGGCTGAATCCGAGAGTCCCATGCTCACGATAATTCCATCTTCAGGTGACTTAGTGGAGATTATGGTTGCCTCAAAACATGTTATCCTTCGGTTTCCAGCCTCACCCTGGTCAGGCCATGAGGCTTCACAAACAAGTCCTATCCCAAAATTCGGTATTGATGTTATGGCCCAGATAAAAAGTTCTTCATTGCCTCCACTACTCAAGAGATACTTTGATCCGAGCCACTGGAGATGCTGGATACCTGTGGTGTGTTTCTGTACCAAAGCTCGACATTGCAAGCGCTGTTCTAATGCTGCGTTTCTATCATAGCGCCAGATCCTTAGCGATGTATCTTCAGCTCCCGTCGCAACAAACTGTTGATCTGATGATAGCGCACAAGCTTTGATTTCTCTTCCATGAGCCCCTTGTTTTAAAATCTTGTGCGATGGACCCTCATGGCTCAAGAGATATAATTTAGAGGATCGTGTATAGACGAAATGACCACCTCCGCCATTAAACATCGAAGAATACGCATAACTTCTATGAGCTCCACCACAGTCACAACTCATTACCTCTAATTGTCTAGTCTCATTCCAAACGATGAATTTTTTCCCTTTGAAACCAAAGAGTATCAGCTCGTTGTCTTCAAACCATGCATTGTCAATAATGGGTCCAAATGGCGGGGTTCCATGGTGAACTATACGCACAAGACTTGAAATTGTGTCCTGGCTTTGTTGTGAGTCTATGGAGAAGATAAAATAGAACCCATTTCTTCCTGTCGTCAAAAAGTATTCAGTACTGCAATCTAATCCTGCAGGCGAGAGCGGCACGATAGCTGTAATAGCATCACCACTAAGCTCGTGCGTTACATTACATATTTCAAGGGGACTTCCAAGCTTCTTAGGATCGTAAACAATGAGAGATCCGAGCCTGGAGCCCAATACAAGAAGCTGATTGGCGACACCTGCGCTAGTGATGACAAACTTCGGAGGTAGGCCTATGTCCAAAGTTTCCATAATCTTGTGTGATATTCGATCAAGCTGGAAAAATGTAGCAGTTTTTTTGGTGAGAGTTGTGACTAGTAGTCCATAGAGTTGGCCACTTTTATCATCAATTGTGAACATATCAGCCACCTTCCCATGTACACAACCGAATATTGAGATACCAAGACTGGCTCTATAACTATATATCATGCCGCTTACTCCTGCTAGGTACCCTATGCCGGTATTTATAAAACCTTTCACAACTGCATATGAGCGTAGGTCCACTGAAATTGGTTCTGGTACCTGGACCTCGTTCCACAAAATTTGGCTTCCAATAAGGCCACACATGATGTGGCCTGAAGTGGTAGTTACAAGAATCTCTGTGGTTGATAGAAAAATGTAGCGATTAAAGGTATTTTTGGAGGATATTTTGTTTAATTTAACTTCTTCTGGTTTACTTTCAATGTTGGTTTTCTTTACTAAAGATAAGATATCACTTAATGTCCACGAGTTTGTAACACTACTTTGGTCTAGGGAATCAGTCTTCAAGGCTAATTTCGATAATGATGAAAGGTCGTCCAATACCCGAATAGGATATGTGGCAATCTTTCCATCTGCACCTCCCGTACTTAGGATCCAGCCATCAATACCTTTGTACAGAGCAGATGACCATATGTGCTTGCCGGAATGAAAAGCATAGGATTTATGATGAATTATTTCTGAGGTGTTAACATCTACACATAAATTTCGAGAGTCACCATTCACTTTCTTGGTGTAAGTAGACGGCAATTTAAGCTTCAAGACCCATTGTTGCGTTGTTGCGTCTTCACCAAATGAGAGCAAGTTTGCTAACATTTGATCATCAGATGTCGGACTGCAGAATAGGAATTGGAGATGCCATATTCTAGATGCGTGACCCATGAAAACGGCAAGGGCTTTACTAGTAGAGTCTTGAATTTCATGATGCATCACATTGAGGTCAGTTTCCTCTGCATCCAGTATTTCTGTGGCGGCCATGGTGCTATGGTCCGACATAAAATCCCAAACTCTGACTGTACGATCATCACTACAGCTTGCAAGGAGACGGCCGTCTCGACCGTCTGCATGAGTGAAAGTAGGTGAAAATTTTATACCAAATACCGAGCCTTCATGGCCAGCTAGTGTACAAATATTTAACTTGGTTCCGTCAACAAAACACTTCCATGTAATAATTTGACCAAATGCCGTACCAGAAGCAACAATTACGTGCAGCTTAGACTCCCAAATAAGATGAGCTGAATAAAGTATTAATTTTGATGGCGAGAAAACTGTTTTCATCTCAAGTCGGCCGTATTCTGGCTGGACACTAGCTAGAATAATAGCGTTATGAGCAGTGACAAGGGCGCAGTTGTTTGCCTCAAAGGGAGAAATGGCAGCGTCTAAGATCCAGTCCGGGACCTGAGTGATAAGATCGGTAATATCATTCACCACTTGGTCTAGAAGTAAATCAAAGCGGACTTTGGTTAGGAGAGCAAGAGATGTGCTGCCCCAAATGGCTAAGCAGATAAAGCCGTTATCCGCAATATCATGTTGCTTGTCCAACGTTGAAATTCCGTGAATTACTTGCTCACAAAATATTCGGTGTTGAAGCACAAGCAGTGAGGTATTGGAGTCATAGACCTTTAGGTAGGGACCCTCCCCTGCAATTAGAAACAATTTGTTTTGATCTCTCCGGTAAAACTGAAGGGCCGTTATAGGATTCAAGATAGAATCAAGCTTTCAGATATGTCAGAGTTGGGACAATAGTGATGGTTTAACTTACTCGAGTTGACATTGAGTTGAATTGCGTTTTTGAATGAAGCCCGACCGCCTTCTTTCGGGGGTTCGTGCCTAACACTCTTTGATGCTGTTTATTTGAATCAACGTGCTTGACAATTGGGATATTGAGCAGGAGTGAGGCTGGGCTTTTTTTTTTTTTTTTTTTTTTTTTTTTTGCATCAGATTTTAATTGCGTATGCAGCTATCTAGCTATGACACAATATCAAAGAATAGTACAGAAAAGATGACTCAATTTACAAGAGGAGCACTCATGCCTCGGATTTCATTTGCAAGTACCACTGCGAAGTTATGGTGGCTTTTTCTTCACCCCAAGTCAACCCTCATCCGTGAATACCCACTCAGGGGAACGTCTCATAAACCCTGAGTTATCCAGACATGCCTCCATCATCTTTCAACTTTTCTCCGCGCGAAATATGATCTGAGATGTCTCCTTCCCAAGTGGAGTAGGTGCCCAGGCTACTCAAACCATACCGGAGAACACCACCAGGAGGCGGACCACAACACCTTCCATCGTTAACTTGTTTTTATAGTGTCAGCTGCACTCTCGCAAGCGAAGTCGTGGCGCGCACAAAGCTCAATTCGTAAAACTCCTTGCCAAAATTCGGAATCTCATGCCCTTCGAGGTTATATCCGTCCTTCGCATCATCTTGTAAACTTGTCCTAATCCCTCTCACGTCCATCCCAAAGAACTGTCTCCCAGATTTGTGCGCCACGCTTTGCTTCCTCCGTCGGGTATAAATATCGGCGTGGGCGTGTATTTGGCGGTCAACTGAGGCCAGAGAAGGTCGAAGAGTGGTGTGGTCATCGGGAAGAGGCTGGGCTATATTAGGATAGCTATTATTCATAGTAAGAGCCTCATCCCACTTCAGCGTCCACCTACGTGTAGAACCAAATAGTGTTGGACCCTACAGTGGACCCTATCTTTGCGCGTGTAGGGCAACGGCTCAACCCCTGTACGCGGTATGTATATATTATTCATTTTTCCTGATTTGGCGCCTTGAGGCCCATTCAGGTTTTATCGGAAGATATGTACTTAAGTAGGTTGATTCAATTTGACATTTTGAACACTCACACTCAGATTTCATTTGCAGATACTACTCAAGGTTAACCCTTACGGCGTATAACCTCTTCCGTGCATACCCACCACAGGGAAAATCGTGGAAAACCTGTGATTATCCGAGTGTACTTTCATCATCCCACAAGTGCAATATCACCGCGAGAGAGAGTGGTGTGTGGGTCTGACTGGAGTTGAACCAGCTTTCTCCTGTCTCGAATGGGGTAGGTGTTCAAGCTACCCAGTATCTACTTGGGTGAACGGCCCAGATGGTGTACCACTGCACCATCCAACCCATCTGTACGCGGTATGCTCTACAGTCCTGGGAGTAAAATATTCTCCCAGCGCCAATTTCAGTCAAATTTCGCTACATCAAAGAAGTTTGCCCACTAGGCAATGATTCAAAATACTCAGCCGGTCAATTATTCACTCCCAACGAGATCAATTCCTACCCAAGCTTCACACAGTCATCGATTACAGCCTATCACTTGATCACATATATGACCACATATTTCATAAACTATTCTCTGACCTCAGCTAGCCACCAAATACACGCACATGTCGACATCTATACCCGCTGGAGGAAACAAACTGTAGCGCGCAAATTGGGGATAAAGTTTTTTGGGATGGATGTGAAAGAGATTTGCAAAATTTGATGCAGAGGATGAGAAAAACCTCGTAGGGTGTGAGATTTGGAAGTATTGCAAGGTGTTTTACGAACTGAAAATCATTTTACGCGCCAACCTTTCGATTGCGAGAATGCAGCTGACACCTTCAAAAAAGAGCTAACTAAAGAGATTGCTGTAGTCCGCCTCTGTGGCATCATCTTCTCCAGTAAGATTCTAGGTAGCCTAGACACCTACCTCACTCGAGAAATGGAGGACTTTGAGTATGTATCTCGCGCGGTGGCTATGTAGAAGATGAGAAAGGCATGTTGGCACAATCTAAGGTTTTTCATATTGTACCCTTTCATGAATATTCACGACTGGGCGAGAGGTGAGAGTCCCTAGCAAAAAGGCCTTGAATGGTCTAAATAACAAACTGAATCATCTGCGTATATGGTCTTCGGGGAGGACTAGCCTTCTACCCGTTACGAATATATATTCATCCATCCAGCCTAAATAGGGATTCGGGTATTTATGAATTTGATTTCATTTAACCCGATCAGACACCCTCTGGGTTCAAGCAGGTGACTATCTTTATTATTTACAACGCGTGGTATCATAAGTTTCACGAAAGGCTCTGACTAAAGGCACAACAATAATATGATATAAACTTACAATAAGGGAATGACAGGTGGGCTCACTAAACAATGATGATAAATAAAAGTGGATCAATAATAGTCCTAGCGTCCATTGGCACGTGACTAGTATCCTATGACACGACGGAGGAAGTAATTTGGTGAAAGCTCAGATCGTGCCCGTTTACATTACTATCAATTTATTTAGTTTACCTTCAGGAAGTACAGTGTACACTTTTCAGCCAGTGCCGATTCCGTCCTCTCCCCTTCCAGATCGATTCATTATATCCGACGTTGCTACCTCTCCTTTTTTTTCCCACGTAACTGTTTTATCCATCCTTTGCTTAGTATCCACTGTGTGATTCTAGCCACATCTTCTAGGCTCTAAATCATTGCTTCAAATGACCTGTCTTTAGCTTGTCGGAGAAAGTCGCCTCCTCCACTTGCCCACTGCGGACACGCCAACAACATGCGCTTGAAGTTTTATGACGGATATCCACACTGACAGCTGGGGTTTTCAACTCCGGGTACTTTTCTCCTGAATAGGTAAGAATCGAGTCAGATATGCTTGCTTTTTAGCTGAATGGCAACACTGCTTTGGGGGATTCCGTTATTCTAGATGATATAATAGTCTTTTATCAAACTATAACTATGTAGGGCGTGAAGGTCCTCTCTGACTTCAAGCCAAGGATATCTATTTAGTTGTATATACTCTTCTACGCCTTCCATAAAGCTCCCCTCATACAGTACCACCCCTCACAAGTCCTCATTCGATCATAATATTAGAGGAGCCCTTAGCCCTTCATTACCTTCCCTCCTCAGCCAACGAAACGATGGCCATTTGCGGGTGTACGGCAGCCGGGAAAATTCGCAAAAAACCACTGAGTGCGGAGCTCTCCTAATACCGATATTAGGACTAAATCCGAAGATATAGTGATCCTTCCCAAGCGTTCGAAGAGGCCGGCCAGCTGGGCTCTGCAGACTTGTGTGCACCTCGAAGAATTCACACTCTGTCTTTCTGGCCTCTTTCCAATCCTTTCCCGAAGGTCGCGCTGAATTATGAGAGATTTCTTGACAGAGCGTGATTGCTGTATAGTTGCTTAACCCAACTTCTTTGGCGGCTTCTGGGGTACGGTAGAGTGCCGTAAACTGAACAATAATAGAATTTCCCGCCAATGAATCGGGACCGTAGCGTCGGCGCCCGCAAGTCTCATGAACTCTAAACCCTTCGTAGCCGTCGGCCCCACGATGCTGATGAGAAATTTCTTCCATATCTCGTTCTACATCCTAGTGTTACAGGCTGTTGCCATGTAGTCTGGAACCGGAGTTTATCCGGTCCCTTGCCAAGCGCTAACACATTTGTGGTCAAGCGTTGTGATTGCTTATGAAAATGGACGCCTTACGCGACGCGTATTTTATATTCGTGACCATCCTTAAGGGGTATCTTTTTCTTTAGACAGAATATAAATTCTTTTTTGGGCACAGGTTAGCTAGAAGCTTAGGTTCCGCTCAGAGCAACATTCTCCCACAGGCCAGGACTCAGTTTTTGTATATTATGACTTGATTTCATCCTTGCGGGGATGCGTAACGTCGTAATTTTGGTGGTGGTGATGGCCGATTTTTTATGAGGCAAATTCTTGATTGGAATTGGAGTTAGGCCTTAATCGGAAGGTCAGGCGAGGTAGTGTAGTGAGATTGAGGTAAATGACCCACGTTAGTATGATAAGTATGACATTAGCGAGAAGTCATTCATTTTAGTTTTGTAAGAGATTGCTTTCGACCTCGTTACGGATGCGATTCTCTTTGGCTGCCCCCGACATACACTGCGTACTGAGCGATCACACTGGCATCGATGGAGAGTGAGGATTCCGTCTCTTGCCGGCAGTTCAATGGGTTGGTGGGCTGAATGAACTGTTTTAATCTAACATTCCGTCAAGGGATGCATGTTAGCAAATGAACCCCTGGCAATCCAAATAAAAGGTTCGGGCAAAACTTGGGTATTCGATATACATTCCACGGGCGCAAGCATGCGGAATTAGTATTTCTTCCTTCGCGTAAATGAGGACATGGGGTGTCCCGGCAACTTTGCAAATAATCCAGGTACTGGGAAAAATAGGATAAGCCTTAAATGTCATGTTTAAATGCCGGAAGCAAAAGATGTAGCTAGATCAGCTTCTAACAACGATACGCTAATATACCGATGACTCTGATCCACTGGACATTGTGCTCATGACTTGGCCACGGTCTCCCTAAATGCCCTTAAGCTTCTTCCCATGTATCAACGAGACCAAAGACCGGAGCAGCTAGCGCATCCACCCTTGGGATCATAACAAATGGAAGCAATGGTGCACGATGGATCAAACTGCTGTCTTTGGCTCTTTCGCTGTCTGATTGCATACCTATTGTGCCTCCAGCATGGTTCCCGCCTGGCATCACAACACACAACAGTGCGTTTGGTAGTGTTGATTTAGAGGGATGTTTATCCAAATGCCCTTATTCGAGCCGTTCAGGGGTACTAACTGCATTTCTTACTTTAGACATATGCTGTTTTTGGCATGGCTTGTGACGCAGGAGTAGGGAGGGCTAACTGGAGACAACCCGCATCTACGAATTTCCTGAATTTGCTCCAGTGTAGAAAGAAAGCGAGTTGTGCCGTGCGGCAGGATTTAATATCCGGTGAACCCGAGGCCTGAGTGGATGGCGCAGCGGTAAATCGTTTGGGCCATTCCCGATATATGTTCTGGGTATAATTACTTTATATTTGATTTCATTATCATGGTTTGGCGTCTTGTGGGCCTATGCAGTTGGCTACAACCTATCTATATATACAAAGAAGGATACCTCTGAGAATGCCGTCCCAATTTCTGAAATTTGCAATTTTTCCTTCAGAAAGCCCGTTAATACTGCAATGCTGTCCATGTATACCAGTCACGTCTCCTACATCGACCCAATCTTGTGCTAGTCCTGTTTCTCTTTTTTTTAAATCATTTAATGTGTATTCAGCTATCTAGCTATGACACATGACCAGTGCTGTGTATACATGTAGGATGACTCTTTTGACGTTAGAGACACTCACACTCTGAATTTCATTCGCAAATACTACTATGAGGTATGTTCGCTCACACAAACAGTCGACCATCTTCCGTTAGTACCCACCAAAGGGACGTTTCAAAACCTTTGGTTATCCAAGCATGCCTCGTCGTCCATGCATACCGGCGCCACAAGAGATGTGGTTGTGTTTAGCCGGATTTGAACCAGCGATCTACTGTATCAAGTGGGATATGTGTCCAAGCTATCCGGACCTTACTTGGCAGACGGGCCAAGACGATGTACCACCGCACCATCTAGCCATGGCGGTGTCTATAGTGTTGCCTGCACTCCTAAGATTGCTCGTTAACACAAAAGGCATGTACTCAACCCCTTATCATACCCCGGAGTCTGCTCAAGTGTTGCAGCAACAGTAGGTCCAAGCTTCCAACAAATTAGTTTATTGGATAACATGAAGCAAAATTCATGACATATTCAAGGGGGTGGAGGATTGTGGATTTAACTAAAAAATTTTACATGTGAAGTGGCATAAGCCCTGATCGTATACACAATGTCGGGTGTTTTCAATGAACAATGTATATTCCGATCAGAATCTATCCAGCAGCGGAAATCAAAAATTAATAAATGCATGTCTCAGTCTATTCCATCCCCGAAGCATCCTAGCCCTGCAGATAAGCGGATCATTTCCAATTCGGTTCCGGAAACCTGCTTCCTCCATATCCGTGGCGATCAACGGCCCTATGATCAGTAAATACCCCCAGACAAATCTTAATTCTGTGACCAGCTAGATTTGCTTGAGATAAATGCGCCCTGCCAAGTCTAAAATCAGATCTATCACCTTTTAATTCAAGCTAGAGGCACCATATTCTCGGCCAATAGAAAGCTAAAGTGATGATCAGGTGCTGGTCTGATAGCTTACATATTTCGGTAACGATTATGACGGGATTATTCCATCCAAATATAACATCAATGTGCTCATTTAACTTTAAAAATCAAACACAACAAAGAAAATCGATTAATCAAGTACGCTGGTTAACGCGTCGTGCCACACAGTTTTTGGAACAAAAGTGAGTTCAATGAGTTGAATAGAAACAACAAAGTCGCGAAGAGGCTCTGCAGCTACACAATAGACTAAACGATTAGTAAATACCCGAAATACCAGCGCTACAATAGAAGCATCACTTTCGGAATAGTTGCTGACTAAAACCTGTTATGCTAGAGGTGAAAAAACGCACTACAAAGGACTTTGTGTTGAAAGAGGATTATCTGAGGTTTCCAACTCAAAGATACTTGAGTAGTTCAGAACACTACCTATGCTTTTGGAAAGTAAACAAATAACTCAAGGGTATAACTGAGTCTATGGCAAAAAAACCAGGCAGGAAAGCCAAGGTTGCAAAGGCTAAAAAGGCCGCCGACGTGGTACCCAGCCATACAGAAATTGGATCAGAAGACCTACAAAATCACCATATTGAGGTACCTGTTCAGAACCTCCAATGTAATATCAATGTTCCCATCACTGAAAGTCAACCACAAGGACTACCTTGCGAACTGTCATCTATGGCCATTAATTCTCAAGAAAACTTTAATAGTATTAATCCCGATCAAATATCGAACACCGATGCAGAAAATCAAATGAAAATCACGGACCACGCGAATGTTTTGAGTCTAAAAGTAGAAAATCCATTGGCCAAAAATGGTATTGAAACCGAAATTAAAGATAGGCAGGAAATGGGCGTTGGAGATCGGGACACACTTCAAAATGCACCGAATATAACGACTAACGACGGGCAAGCTATTTCTGGAGCTCGAACAGAATTATCCACACCCTTGTGTAAACTTGAAGACCTTTACTCTGAACGAGTAACGAGTAAATATGTGAACTTGGAATCTGTAAAAGATATGAATACGGAGGTTCAAAAAATTAATCATTCGGTAAATTTATCCCTTCAAAATCCAGGATTACCTGCTGCATCTCCTAGAGTATCATCAAATATATCCGGAGGGCGAATCGAGAACTTGATGGTAGAAACCGCATATATCTCTCTACAAAATGAAGACAGCCAGTTTTCCGCCCCACTCAGCACTGAGGTTAAAGGATTACCAGCTGACGACATGAACGAGTTCAATAAAGTTTCTACCTCGAATAACGAAGCTTCTCACCCCTCAAAGTCTCAAACAAGTGAAGAGATTCTGCTCGAAGCGCAAAGAATAGAGATTCTCCAGTCTGCTAACAACCTTGATGAAGTGGCTACTAAGGACAAACACAAAAGCTCTCACATTTTCCAAGAGGATAATAATATCCTTGACTCAAGAGTCAAAGTGGAAGATCGAAGAAAACACAATGAAAATTCATCTCCCGAGTCGACAGCCCCCGAACTTGATGCTCAGTGTTATTCCTACCCGTCAACCGAAATACTGAAAGTAGAAAACTTTCCTACTTTCCCTAAGGATTTTTCTACACCAAATATAGACTGTACTCACAACTTGGCAGAAAAAGTTTCTCAAGCAATTTGGACCGAGTCCAAGGAGATAGCCAAAATGGTGACAAAGGAAGCCGTATCTCAAGCTTATAATAGTCATGGAAGCGGGGACTTGTTCGATTTTCCAAAGCACCTACTTGAGTCAGCCAGCGCAGAGCTTACATGTAGTGCTACAAATCTGGTCGAATATATGAAGAAATCTCATGAGCCGATGAAAGAGTAAGTGACTCTTATGAATATTCGCTAGATTTACTGATAGAAATAGGAGTATCAAAGAAACCGCTGTTGGTAATGAATCTAATTCGACTCCGCACAGTAGTAAATCAAATATCACGGATCAAGGACAAGAAGGAGACTCAGGAAAAAAGCAGGATTCCAGAGAAACACCCGTTAGAAACACACTAAAAATATCCCCTGATATATCTAGTTTAATATCAGAAAATGTGATGAACGCGTTGGAACCAGATAAAATTCCCAACCAAAGTATGGGAACTGGACTTGACGAACTTACCCCACAAGCAAAACTCAATGTAAAAGATGATATCAAATTATCTGATGAGCCAAACGAACTAAGGCCTAAGATTACTTCTAAGATTCGCCTCACTTCACATTCCTTGCTACCATATGCAGAGAGAGACAATTCCGATTCTGAAACATGTCATTTCAATTCTTTTGTAGATGATGATGAGCCTATCAATCCAAGAATGCCAACTACAGCTCACAGAGCCCAGGATGATGTTCTCGGAGAGAAATACACCAGCAAGAAAAATTTCGACCAAACAGCCTCTTGCTTAACGGAAGATACTAAACTTGTTCCCTCAGTAAATGGCATTGGCATCATCGAAGATTGTACATGTGAAGTACCTAAGGCTCAAGAACCCGTTGAAGAGACGAATTTCAAGAATGTAGCCCCTGATGACAATAATTGCAGCTCGTATCAGATCGAAACTGGACTTGGAACGATGGCCTCTAGGATTTTACAGACTGACTATGCACCAAATGTATCCGAAACAGAGCCCAAAGATGCCGATTACGAACGCCATAATCCTAAAGGAGTAGTTAGATCTGGACTCACTAAGTTTATGGCAGGTAATTCGATGCAGATAGATGAAGCACATAATCAGAATAAAATTCCGACAACTCTTTCATGTTCTGTAAGCAAGGATCAGGTGCCGGAAAGCAGAATAAAAGAGACAACCACAATCCTGACAGAATCAAAAATTCAGGCTGTGGAGCAGGCCCCAGATATGGAGCTAGTAACTATGTCTAAACAATCACTTGATGAATTGCATCAGAGTGAGTACCCCCATTTTTATCAACACCTAGCTAATATGAGATAGGGCTCAATGATATGCAAAAAGAAATTCAAAATTTGACGGCAGTTATTACCAGCCAATCTTCAAATACCAATTCAATGGAAGCAAGTCTTGTTGTATCAGCTCCTGACCAACTTTACCAATCAACCCCTGAAACAACATCCAATTCGACGTCTGATAAGGCTACAACAGTTGAAATTGAGTCTGCCAATGAAACCAAGATACTATCCCCTACCAAACGCAACGGGATTTGGGACATGTTTTGGCCGTTTAGTAATGCTAGTAGTGAGAACCGTATCAAATCTATCTCAGGAACAAGAAATACATCTCAGAGCATGCTATCTCAACAGGTAGATAGGAACAGGACCAACTGCCTTGCAAGCCCACCAGTAAAGTATAAGGTTATTGGAAGAGTAGGAGCAAAACACGACAGGCCTATCAATCCACGGTAAGATAGGCGCAGTGTTAGAAGTGCTGTTTCGAAACCGACTTTATCGGCATAGACTCCCAGAAGATAAACTAAAAATAGTGCATTCGATGACTTGAAGATTCACCAAGGAACCTAAAGGCTAGAGCACAGACTTAAAAGCTTGAATTCGAAGACGGGAATCCAACATGTATCAGATCTGAAAATTTGGTTTGTTTTGTAAATATATTTCGGAGTTGGTATGGTAAATGTGTATGTAGGAGAACAAGGAACAAGAAATTTAATTAAACTAGGATGTAATTGAATCAATTAATTCAAAGGCCCCCACACAAAAGACCCACATGCCCACACAAGCGTAAAGTTGACCAGCTGATGAAGTTTCAGGAGGCTCTTCAACAGCATCGCTCGCATTGTACTCAAACGAAATCATTTCACCTCAAGCGGCAATTAAGTAGTTATACTTTTAAGACTATAGCTTGTCTGCGAATAACCCTATGAGGCGGAGCTTTGACCATGAGCCAAATGTGGCGAATATGCCTATAAAAGTCAATATATTTTGTGGAACAAACTGGAAGTGGTGACGCGTGGCTTATATTTCTAATCTAGCTAGAGTTACGGACAAGTGGACTTGAGATTAGTCAGAGAAAACATTTAGATTTGCTTCGGGGTTCCAACAAAGAACATGTCCCATTTGAGCCTGGATCAATCCAATAGCTTTGTATATGAAGTAATTTGGATTCGTCGGTGATTTATCGTTTGGCGGCGGGACATAGCATCTAGGCTTAGTTTTAACTGAAAGCAGCTTTACAAATTATGTATGTTCGATTCTGTTTAGACCTAAGCTGTCCGCCGCATCAGACCTACAGCACCCAGAGAACCTGCAGCGTTTGCCATTCCCGGGCCAGTACTTCTCAGAGAAATCTGATGCATAGCCTCAGACTGCTTTTGAGTAGCTATTGCCTCACAAAGGAAGGTAGATTACAGCTTATGCCTCATGCTGTACATGAACATAATTCTCCGTCAAACCGTCATTCTCTATTCTCACCTGAAGACTTGGGCCGCAGAAGACTAAATTGGAGTCTCGCAAGCTTCCTGTGCGTGAGGAATGGTTTGCGCTGATAATCATCCAAGCATCAAGTGCTTCCCATCCTTTCCCACTGGCCACTGTCAGCTTCATTATTGTGAGACCGGTGGGGATTGAAAGAATAGACTGGCCTTAGCCATTCGTGATTAGCTAATCCGCAGCTCCGAGGCTTGGAGCTGGTGTGATACTGTATTTTTATAAACATTTAACGCCAAAAAGGTAAACAGGCTAGCCCCGGCCTCTAGAGAAGATTTGGCGTGCCTCCACGGCTTATCGCCGTCAGACATCTCTGTTGTCAAACAACGTCTAATTCAAGCGACAATCAATCGTCACGACATGGCGGAGAGTAGAAATGAAAAGTAAGAAAGGCATATATGTATAGGATCAAAGTCAAATTCTCACGTTATTTTTGAACAGTCACCTGAATGGCTTAACTTGCTTGTACCAGTTTCCGAAGGCTCGAGCACCACTAGTTGCTCCAAATGTCCAGTTAATGCCACCCTCCATACCACGGGAGGGTCTTGGGCGAGGTTTATGAGAGCCTGCTAGATTAGTGCAGACAAATGGGGGTTCTGGAGTCTTCTCGCCGCAGGGTGTGGTATTGTAGTATGCAGGGATTTGATTCGAACGCTACTCCCGTCGGGCTTGTGCCTTACATCTAAACGGCATGGTCCCTAGGTGCTAGCACCAACCTACATAACCGGGTCCTGGAGGGCTGGAGAGACACGGAGGAAATAACTTCGCAGCCACAACGTCCAAAGTTGTGTCCGCATCCATGTGGCAAGTCGGGAGTTTGTAAATTAACGTGCTAGGTAACGGGCAGCCTCGGCGCGGCTACAGGAGCTTGAGCACTAATGGGACCGGGCTTGGTCAGGCTGACTACTATCTGTTGGAATTTACGACGTCAAGTAAACCATACCAAGGTAAAAGCCAGCAGCTGACATGTATCCCGACAACCTGTATCGCGTATCGGATGATTCTACACTACATGCGCTCTCAATACAGTGGCTGGCATTATCACGCACATCCCGGTCTACACCAGCGATGGAGCCTTATTTGCGTCAGACCTGAATTGCATATGCAGTTACTTGGCTATGATACAATTTCGGAGAATAGTACTGAACAGATGACTCAACTTCATAGAAGAGCACTCGTGCCTCGGGTTTCATTTGCAAATACCACTGCGAAGTTATGGCGGCCTTTTCTTCACCCCAAATCAACCCTCATCCGTGAATACCCACCCAGGGGAACGTCTCAAAAGCCCGGAGTTGTCCAGACGTGCCTCCGTCACCTACTTCCTGATTTCCGCGCGAAATGTAATCTGAGGCGTCTCCTTCCCAAGTGGAGTAGGTGCCCCGGCCTCTCAAACTATACCAGAGAACACTACCAGGATGCGCACTACAGCGCCTTCCATCGCTGGCCTGTGTCTATAGTGTCCATTGCACTTTCGCAAGTGAAGTCTCGGCGCGCACACAAAGCTCAATTCGTAAAACTCCTTGCAAAAATTCAACATTTCACGCCTGTCGACAATGTATCCATCCTCTGCATCATCTTATCAATTTGTCTTTATCCCTCTCACGTCTATCCCAAAGAATTATCTCTCAGATTTGTGCGCCACGCTTTGCTTCCTCCGTCGGGCATAAATATCGGCGTGGGCGTGTGTGTGGTGACTAGCTGAGGCCAGACAAAGTCGACGAGAGGTGTGGTTATTGGTAGGAGGATGTACTGGGTCGTACTTGTAGATTTGATGAGGTTTAGGTAGGAGTCGATCTCGTTGGGAGTGAAAAATTGATGTGGCAGAGTATTTTGAATTATTGCTTCGTGCCAAGTTGTTCGGTAATGCGAAATTTGACTGAACTTAACTCTGGGAGAATTTTTCACTCCCAGGTTGGTGGAGCAAACTGCGCACAGGTGTTGAGTCTTTGCCCTCTCAGACGGTATACTGTGCTTATAGAGAGAAAGAGTACCTATTTTTCCTGCCTTGGAGCTCACGTCTCCGATTCAAATTACTCAACGATAGGAATATTAGGACAAAAGAGCATGATATTAGTGAAAGAAATCATCTCATTAAAATAGTCGGTGGCAAAATCCTCCCCTTCTATTCTCTGTCATAATCTATATACATATACTGGTACGAACTTCCTTGTATTTATTATATCCATGCATTTCCCTACTTCCGTAGTTATCACGCAATAATATTACTTCATATGCTACATAATGGGTCTATTAGTCGGGGTCCGTTTGTTGTTAAAAAGGAGACCATTTAAAGAACTCAATCTTTATCTGAAGTTGATTTATATTCGTGCAAGTGGACGAGATACCAGCTTACAACTTTTTTTCTGTCTAGAAATCGAAACACAAGCTAACCCAAGAATATCTTATCCATATCTGGCTTAAAAAACTTAGTAGATCTCGTACTTGGATTATCAGCATATGGATTTATATTCTTCATATCGTAAAATTTTGTCAAGTCCAAGAAATTAGTCTGATCTTTCGAGGCGAATGGTGGGAAAGAAAAGGAGGAATAAATACTACGAAATTGATCTCTAGTTATCTTCCGTCTCCTCCTGTAACTGGAAGAGGATGACGTATAAGAATTTCGATTTGGATTTTTGAAACTTTCCAACTGATCTTTAAGCAATACAAACTCTTCCATAAACTCGAACAAAAAATTGATTATCAAAATCCCATTGTTATCCTGTGGATATATGCTCGTCAATATGTTCCAGTGTTTAAGCTCTTGATCTAGTTCAAAGACATGAAGATCGCCTTGGAACCAGCCGAGCGCTTGGTTCTTCGGTTTATGGATTTGCGCTGGGAAAAAGTAGCCATCATGAATGACGTTTCTCATCGGAATAGGATAATCAGCAATTACTACACTTGCGCTTTTTGACACCGAGACATCTGATTGTCCGGTATTGTGATATTTTTTCAGATTGATGAGCCCCTGAGTGACCAGGTAGACTATAGAGCTATCGCTGCACATTCCTTGTCCACTGATTTTTTCCATGCTGACTGGAACACCTTTTGACATTATGCCCTTCTTGGCATTTGAATTAATATTAATAAGACAATTATTTGTGGTATATTCGATGGTACTGAATTCTGGATAGAAGCGGGGCTGTGCTGGTTGTAGTCCATTAATCACTTGTTTTAGTATATCATTCACACTTCGAGTGTCGGAGCAATACAATTTGGTGAATGTGCCAGGCTCATGGGTATTACTTTGGTTCACAATGATGTCAGGACTTATGTTATGCATCGGAAATCTTTTTTCTGGAGGATGGAAGACGCCATAATAGCCAGACACTAAATGATTGTGTACCACTACTAAACGCTCCTTATACACAGTGTTAGACGCCGTGAGCAAAAGAATCGCAAAGATGCAGTTCATGGTGAAAATGCGATTAATAAAGTTTCGTGTTAGTATATATTTTGATGATTTTGTAACGAATGATAGACCGGTACGAAGAAGCTTCTAGATTATTTTATTGTATTTATTCTGCGATTCCATGGAGACTAGTTGATAATATGGTCCAGATTCATAAGCGTCATTGGCAGTGATTTTTGAGTTGTTGACCTTTGGAATCTAAGAACTATTACCTGAGTTTCGTTGTCCCCAAATCTTGCCGTGAAATTTTATATAGGTCACCTATGGCTACAAGTTCCGAGTCACACTAATTGCATCGAATGTATCACGAATCGGATTGGCAGTTCAATGTCTCGGCGGGGCCCAAGCCATAATCAAACTGAACAACTGGAGAATTTGATTATAATTTGCTCAATTTCGTAACTGTTGTCCGACTGACTCGTTTTATTTTGTAAGCTGCGTTCACTAGCAGGTCTCAACTCATGTGGCATCAACGAGATAGCGTGAGCCAGTATCAGCAGTTGAAACGAGCAAGAAGAGATGAACGAATACTTTCTGCGAGCCACCCGAATGTATTACAGCAAGAAACTTAGAGTGCATGCTTCTTGCTACGCCTCTCTTCAAATCAGTCTGAGGTGATGATTATCGTCGTACTAATCGGGTATTGGGCTATGCAGGCGATGACCAAATAGCTATAAGAGATGTGCTCTAAAAATACGGGCCCGGAGTATTCCTTCAGTGCCGAGCTTTGGGAACGAGGAGGTATGAGGCAATTTCAGGTGGAGGGCTGGTGTAATTAGACTTCGTGTCTTTGGTAAATTGATTACGGATCGTAGTCGTGTAAAGATTAGGATTGCGATTCCAGCTTTGTCTTAGTATAAGAAAGAACTTCATCACACAGCCATGTGACTTTTAATTTAGGAGGGCAAAACTGAGCATCTGTACGCGGTTACCACTTCGAACCTGAGAGTGAAATATTCTCCCAGAGCCAAGTTCAGTCAAATTTCGCATTACCGAACAACTTGGCACGAAGCAATAATTCAAAATACTCTGCCATGTCAATTTTTCACTCCCAACGAGATCGACTCCTACTCAAGCCTAATCAAATATACAGGTACGAGCTTGTGCATCCTCATTTTAATGAGCACACCTTTCTTCGACTTTGTCTGGCCTCAGCTAGTCACCACACACACGCCCACGCCGATATTTACACCCGACGGAGGAAGCAAAGCGCGATGCACAAATATGGGAGACAATTCTTTGGGATAGACGTGAGAGGGATAAGGAAAAGTTGATAAGACGATGTAGAGGATGTATACATTCTTGACAGGCGTGAAATGATGAATTTTGGCAAGGAGTTTTACGAGTTGAGCTTTGTGTGCGTGCCAAGACTTCGGTTGCGAGAGTGCAGGCGACACTATAAACACCGCCATGGTTGGATGGTGCGGTGGTACATCGTCTTGGCCGGTCTGCCAAGTAGAGTCTGGATAGCTTGGACACATATCCCACTTGATACAGTAGACCGCTGGTTCGAATCCGGCAAAACACAATCACATTTCTCGCGGTGCTGGTGTACATGGATGACGAAGGCATGCTTGGATAACCAAAGGTTTTGAAACGTCCCTTTGGTGGGTACTTACGGAGGATGGTCGACTGTTTGTGTAAGCGAACATACCTCATAGTGGTATTTGCAAATGAAATTCAGAGTGTGAGTGTCTCTAACGTCAAAAGAGTCATCCTACATTTATACACAGCACTGGTCATGTGACATAGCTAGGTAGCTGAACACACATTAAATGACATAAAAAAAATAAAAAAGACCTTTCATTTAAGGGTCAATCTCAGCCCTATTCTAGTCACTTAGGCTAACCGATGCCGACAGTTCAGATCATGAAGACCCCAGCACCCAGCGATAATCAAATAGACAATCTCTTCAGAAAAAAATTGGTTCGTATTCAGCTGAATGCCTACATTTTTTGTTTAGTGTCTTGATTGCAAATTAATTGAACCATTTGACTCTCATTTTCGGGATTTCATGCGTAGACGTCGCCCAGGATTAAGTCTACTTTTCGGGTAAAATTAAGCCCCAGCCGAGAGTAGCTCCCAAAGAAATGCTTCCAAACCCTCAGTCATCATAGACTCGAATAGCGCTAGTACTTAATTCGGACTTCACGAGAACTGAAGCAGTGATGACCTGTCTCAACCGGAAATTTGCTCACATTGCCTATAGTTGAACGGGGAGACTAGGCTAATCGGTAGTAATCAGCACTATGGAGATGATACATAGCATAATTGTTTAAATGGCGGGATATGTATTTCTCATCAACACTACATTTATCACTCCATCCGTAGAGCTCCTGTCTCCGCTGGACTGATCCTAAAATTTCCACGGCTCAACCTCGTCGCTATTATCCCTACCACAACTGAGCACAATCTCCTCTGGGCCATTAGTCCTCATTTGTTGCTCGTTTAAGGGTTATAAGCAACCTCTCCAGGAAATATGGTCACCGCTGTGTGTACATGCCGTAGGATCCTCTTGACTCTAGAGACACTCGCAATCTGTATTCCATTCGCAAATATCACTACGAAGTATGTTTGCTTACAGAAAACAGTCGACCCTTCTCAGTGACTAACCGCAAAAAAGAGATTTAAGCCCCTTTGATTTATCATGCACACCAGCACCGCAACAAATTCAGAGTAATATTGCTCAATCTGGGCTGGCAATCTCCTATCTCTTGAGGGACAGGCGTCCAAGCGATTCGGATTTTATATTGCGTCATCCACTCTGTACATTTTTTCTCATATTGTACCATAGCTAGCTAGATGCATGTGCAATTCGAATCAAATGCGAAAATATATCATTCCTGAATTTACTTGGAAGACCGGCGAGGAAGATGTACCACCGCACCATTCAACCAAAGCGATGCTTGTGGTGAATGAATCAATCAAAGTTTTTTCGTGACGGGCACAAGGCCAGCACTCAAAGAGCATGACACGGAGAAGACTAGCTTCTCCGGCGACTATATACGACGATAACTCAGTTTGAAATTTTGACTACTCATGTAGTGGGTGCATTTGCTGACACCACTCGAGACCCTGGTGCTAGGGATTTTCACCCTTCCCTCAACCGTTAATATCCGCTAAAGGGAAAATAGGAAAAACCTTTGGCTACCCCAACATGCCTTTGCCATCTTGTATATAGCCACCGCGCGAGATATGGCCTCACAGTCCTCCCTTTCCCGAGTGAGGTAGGTGTCCAGGCCACCCAGACTTTAATTCTGGGAGATGACGACCAGGAGGCGGACCAAAACACCATCCATCGTTGCCTATTTTTAGAGTGTCGGTAGCACTATCTTAAATCGTTGCCTCGGCGCCCACAGGCACCCTTAAGTCGAAGATACTCGAAAAATGTACGTCCCAGCATGCCCATTTGTGACCTCTTCACTCGTTCGTCCCACGTCTCAGCTGACTGTCCCCCCTCAAGATGTGAAGCCCTATTAGAGCAATGGTCCTTCATAGACCAAGACCCGAGCTTTGTAGATTATGACTTAATTTCCTAGCGGGTATACATAGCATCGTAAATGTGTAGTAAGAGACGGCCGGTTTTTGATGAGGCAAAAGCCCGATCGCAATTGGAGTAACGCCATTATCGGTATTTGGGGCGAGGTGGTGTGGTAAGATTGAGGTGGAGGACTCGCGTGAGAATAATAGGTCCGAAATTGACGATGAGTCGTCGATTTTAGATGTGCTTGCGAGTGCTTTCGACTTCGATTTGGATGCGATTCTTCTTGGCTATCCCAGATATGCAGAGCATACTGTGCGATTACACTGGCGCCACTGGAAGGTGAAGAATTAGTCTTTGTCGGCTGGAGATCCTGAAGCCAATGTTTACCGTCAGGCATCTATTGGCTAATTCCTATTCATGCCAGTGAGTGATGATATGGGTTAATCATATCTCATGGCGCCAGTGCGTATTATTGTAATATGTACTTGTTACAGGCTGCGCCTTGCATCCATGTACTTGTGCCTATCTATGTACTAATCGCCGATGTTCTTTTTTTGCATCAAGTCGCCGATGTTCTTTTATGGGACTGTAAGTGATCGCCGATCCGATGGATATTAACCTCCCTGGGGTCAGAGCTACATGTATATGTGTCCTACAGCCTAGATAAATACTATTTCCTAGGTAATTAGAAAATAGACTGTATTACGGGCAGCTTACTTTGTTCTTATTGTTTTGGTGAGAGCCCATCACAGTACTACTTGTCTACTGCAATCATATTACTGCATTAATTACAACAGAATACTCCCTTGTGTGTATTTGTCTGCGCCAGTGCGGTAGAGATGGACTTTAGGGTCTATTCACCTATAGAGAATATCAAGGATGTAGATTGGATACGCTTGCTTGGCAACTGGTCTGTTATGATCGGCGTCTTTAATTAACTGAATTTATTCGGGACCTGCTCCGCTGCAGACCAACATCAATTACTGGCAAAGACGAATTCTTCACCTTCCAGTGGTGCCGGTGTAATCGCTCAGTATGCTCTACATATCTGGGAAAGCCAAGGAGAATTGCATCCGAATCGAAGTCGAAAGCAACCTCATACACATCTCCATTTGATAACTTCTCGACAATACCTCTTTCATCATTATCATCTGAGTCCTCAACCCATCTCTAACCACGCATCATCTCGCCTCAACGACCAATAAAGAAGTTGCTCCAATTGCATACAGGAGCTTGCCCCATTAATCTCCAGCCATCACTCACTACATATTTACGACGCTATTAATACCCGCGAGGAGGAAATTAAGTCGAAAAATACAAAGCCTGGGTCATGGCTTATGGGGGACTGTTGCTCTAATGAGACAAACATCTTGAAGAAGGACAGGCG